ATATGTATGTATGTATATGTATGTATATGTATGTATATATATATATATATATATATATATATGTATGTAGATAGATACATATATATATATATGTATGTAGATATAGATACATAGATACATATGTATGTATGTAGACATAGATACATAGATACATATGTATGTATGTAGACATAGATACATAGATACATATGTATGTATGTAGACATAGATACACAGATACATATGTATGTATATATATCCATATATATATATATATGTAGATATATATACATGTAGATACATATAGATAGATACATATATATAATAATTTTTTGGCATGCAATAGTCATAAAATAAACTAGTTATGAATTATTACTCCAAATTAAAAAATCTCCTTCTGCTAACTTAAATTCTTTTGAGAGTTCAGTCAACTATCCTTAATCCTTTCACTCATAATACTGAATGTAGTACGGAACTATTGCGCGTCTTTGGTTTCTTTTATTCTGGTTTTTTAATATATTTTTTAGATAATTTTGTATACTACAATCATTCTTTTCATTCATGATACTTATCTAGTTTTTAATTTAAATTTTTTCGGTCATTTCTTGACTCATATTTTAAGTCGAAGCAAAACTATATTGTATGACATGAAGACATTTGTTTACAACATATCACACCGTTTTATAAGTAAACGAAATGACTGAGAAATTGTACTTTCAACGCAACTTTTTTTGTTTGAGATAATTTGATCTGATGCTGCATTCATCAAAAAATTGATTTAGTTTGCTGGTTTTCTTTTATTCTGCTTGTAATTTATTTTATACCAATGTATTTTCCCTAAGGTTCTGAAAACCGAACTGGACAATGATCCGATAGAGGAAGAGGTTCAAGATTCAAAGGTTGAACCGGGATTTTGAATCGGGGTTCAACTAGATGACATAATAAATTATAAATTTATTTAAATGTGACAAAAATGATGTAATTTAAAAAAAAATTGATTGTGAAAAATAAAATACATATCCCAATATTTAAATAACCTTCCTGATAATAGCTTTAGCATGTTATCGTATAAGTAAATAGCAATTAATTTTTAAAAAAATTAATAATGATATATAAGAATCATACTATATTTATTACCTTATAAATTAAATGTTGGAACTTATTATTAAGATTAACATAGCATTAATATATATTTATATATTAACATTGCTACATGCATGCATACATACATACATACATACATACATCCATACATATACGTATCGTGGCCTGTTGGTAGAGCAGCCTCTCCGAGAGTCGTAAGTCCCTTCAAGTCATGGGTTTGAATCCCCTGTGTGCAAGGTGCGTTACTCGAATATTTAGCACACCAAAGGATTGTTGGGGCTCTTCAAATAGCTTTTGGCCAGTTTGTAATAGCCTCTAAAGATTCTTTTGTCAAAGAAATATATATAGATATATATATAGAGAGAGAGAGAGAGAGGGATGGCCACCAATTACCATTAGACGCCGGAGAACGGAATCCAGTGGACGTTGGCAGGTTTCTTTTTGATCCCATCTCCGATGAGTTGTGATTTTTATTTTTATTTTAAGTATTCAAGCATTGCTGCTGTTTCTAATTTTTATATTAAAAAAATTTATTTACTTTAATTAAATTATTAAGCAGTCGAATTATAAAATTTTCTCATTAAAAACCTTCCAGTGATAACATTCCACGCATGCATTGCTAAGCAAATATATCCAACGCACTCCTTTGAACCAGTCACTTTGTTTTTATAAGATAGAAATAGTCATTCTCCGTAACCAACTCACCACCGCACTGCCACGCTCCACATTGAAGTGGTAATACTGCCATCTTAATCTGAGTTTCTTCCTCACCGATACTTCCCCTTGGATATATTTCTTCATATATTTCGAGCCCAGAATTTGGCTGGCTTTTCCTCTTTATCTCCTAACTTTTGGATTGCAATGCACAAATTAATATCCCAATCATTTCTCCGTCAAAACCCAAACTTCAATCAAAAGCCTCAACGCCAACAATGTAAGTCTCTACTAACATCCTAACACTCCATTGCTTGAAAATATGCCTAAAAAGAATATATAAAAAAAAAAAAGTTTGGCATATTCCGTAAGAAAGATACATTGTAAAATTTAAAATGAAGATAACGGACACTCTTTTTGCAGGAGTTCTCCCTCAGAGGACACGCCGTATTCGATTCCATTGACACTGGCAGAGCACCTAGTATCTACCCCGCTATTATCGTGGTATGATGGTGTCGCTCTTCAGCCAAATAGTCTTTGGGGCGCTCAAATCTATGATAATCATAATCTTATATTGTTGGGAACGTTCAAGTCTGAAATATCTGCAGCCCGTGTTTACGATAGTGTGGCCAGAAAAATCTACGGAAGTGACTTCTTCCGTAACTTATTTTTAACAAATCTCACCATTCACGAACCTAGTTTTCAGAGCATGTACACCAAGGAAGCCATCATTGATATGATTAGGGATGGCTCTTACGAACCCAAGTTCATGGAGTTCATTTGGATTCACCACCCGAACTTCCGCTATAGTGGCTTTGTTGCATGGCCTACTTCTTTGGACACCATCCACGGAGTCCTTTTTAAGGAAATGTTTCATAAAAAGTTGATCCTGACAGATATGGAGAATAAGGAAGTATTGGTTTTACCCTATCAAGCTTTATTTTACCTTCCATCTTTCAATTCCAAAACTGTCGAATCATGGCTTATGTTTAAAGATAGGACAAATCGGAAATGGGCTTTTAAATACTGCTATCGGAGTAATAATTGTAGTTACATACTCACTACAGGTTGGGGCACGTTTGCCGATGAGATGGAGCTTTGTGTTAATGACATTGTTGTCTTCTATCGATCTAGGGACTGGGGAAGGTGTCCTACCAGAATTTTTTATGTGGTTGACATCATTCGGGGCGTCATTTGATAAGCAATAGTGACCAGCTGAGGCTAGCATTAATGCAAAAAATTGAATGCTATACATTCAGTGAGTTGTTTCTCTTCAAAGATATTGGAATCTTTTTCTAAAATCTTATGTTTATAAAAAAAAATCAAGTTTTATTTGACTTAATTTGAATATTTAATTTAATAATGTAATTAGTACTAGGTAATTTAAATTTTTTTATGATGCATGCAAAATGCAGACACAATAGTTATGGGTTGTTTTTTTTTTTTCACATATTATTTACAAACATTTATTTTTTCTGGAAATTATTGTTTTATTGTGAATTGTTTTGGCTAGGTCTAGTTTTCATTTTTATCAATGTTCTACAATTATTTTATTCAATAATATTTCTTTCTCATATTTGAGTTGATTTTTATATTACTAATTTTTTATAAACAATATTAAGAAATTAGAATCACTATATATATA